GAGGGACGGAGCAGATCCCGGTGTGCAGGCAAGGAGGGGAGCAAGCAGAGCCGCAAGCTGGGCTCCAGGAGCACTCTTGCTGACCTTGTCCCCACTCTGTTGCCGAAACTCTGTGTCGTGCCTCAGTGCCCCTCTTCCCACGTGTCTTAGGCGGGATGGTGAAGGGAACCCAATGGGGGCTGCTTGCTGCACTTGGGGATGGGGACAACCCGGTATTGCAAATGCCCTGTTGCATTCAGCTTACAACTGCACTTAGCTAGTGGGAAGTAATGGTGGGGGGGACAGAGGATGGCAGCGGAGGGGGGGATGATGCTGGACGAAGGTTACTCTGTGTTTTAATATTGCCAGGAGAATGCCTGAGGGTTTCAGGAATGCAGATAAGGAGCCGCATGGCCTTGCTAAGAAACCTGGCCACCAGCCTCAGCACTGGGTTACAGCCCGAGCAAGCTCCCGAGGGAGGCACGGGGGAGCCGGGGCTGCTCTGCTGACCACTGCACACCCTGTCTGGGGCTGGCAGGTGGGTGAGCATGGGTTGCTGTGGTGGTAGGCACTGAGTGTGGCTCTAGCCACGGTTTTTGACCGAGGTATTGGTAGTGGTGGGGGCAGAAGCTGCTTAGGGGGCGGGCTAACCCTGCGTGCCCCAGGGCCGGGAGCCACTGTCCAGTGTGGTTTTCAGGCTGGGGACTGCAGCAGATGGGCTAACACTCCCGGTGAGGCAGCACCAAGCTTGTGGAGTTGGCCAAGTCGTGGTTGCTGATGACTGGAACTCCAGGGCTGGACTAGAGCCTTCAGTCCCTTGGAAACAGCTTCAGGGATACTTGAGGAAGAAGTGAGCTCCCCTGGTGCCTGCGTAGGGGAAGTGGGTGACTTCATATTGCTTGAGTTGGAGGCAGTAAAATGCTTCTGTCTGCATTCACTCTTGGGAGCACTCCCACCCAGTGTCCCTCAGCACCCCTGGGAGAGAGAGGGCTCCATGTCCCACCTACCAGATCCCCACTTTCCACTGTCCTTGTTGACAAGGTACTTGTAAGCTCCCTGGTTTTTTGAGGGCTGTTACCCCAGCAGGGTTCCTGGCCACCACATGTCCATGTGCAGATGGGTACCCTGGTGCCTCGGACAGCTCTGCTGGGAGTTGTCCCCATTGATATGGAGGTGGCATGACTTCTGGTAGCTTACCACCATCCCACAGGCCTTTGGGCTTGTCCTGTGGCCCCTTGCTGTTGGAGATACTCCCAGACACAGGAGGTCTGGCTCTGGCACCATGCCCTGTGTTGCTATGGATTGGGAAAGGCCATTGACCCAACTCCTTGTCCCTTCCCCCAGTGTGCTGGCTTTTACTGCTGTTGACTCACTTCAAACCTGTTTTCTTTCCCCAAGTCCAAGGGTCTTGGTGTCCCAGGCAGCCGGAAGATGCCGCCTGCTGGGGGGGGGGGTAATGCTGTTCTCTGCCCGCCTTTCCTTTATCTTTTCATCTTCCTCAAGAATTCCAGTGTGTTTGCTCTCACTGGTCCCACTCGGAGGTACCAAGATAAGGCTGGAGGCAGAGCCTGCCTCACCTCTCCCCAGCAGCCTGGCCCAGGAATGTCCCGGGCCCCCTGCCCCCATGGAATCCCAGTCCCAAGCCTCTCTTTGCTCCAGACATCATCTCTTGTAGCCACTGCTGGCCGAACTGGCATGGAGACCATCCTTGCAACAGTGAGGAATTTCTCATGGAGACCTTGTGATAGGACTCTTGGCTCTCTTTGGGAGAAATTGCCCCTGTGGGGGGAGATGCTAGTGGGACCCCTCTTCGCCCAGCCAGGCTCTAGACCTGGAGGTAGCTGTGACTAAGCACACTCCGTTCACAGCCCTTCTGCTGAGATTGTGGTCACATCTGACTGTTCTGCATACTTCCCCTGAGAAGACCCTGGGGTCCCTGCTGACTGTGCCCTGTCTTGGAGCTGTGCCCTTCTTTAAAGACCTGCTGCCTTCCCAATAGAGGTTTGGCTTCCCCCACAGGACATCGTCCTGTCCCCAGTCTGGACGCAAGAAGAGAAATGCTGGTGTTGGTCAGCAGGGAGAACATCTCTGCTCAGCCCAACATCCTTCGGGTCTCCACTGTGATGTGCACAGGACAGCACAGAGCCACTCAGCGCAGTGTGGTGACATGAGACCCCATCCTGCCTGTGGCCTGTGGGTGCCCAGTTGCCTGCATCACTACAGGGAAAAGCTGTCCCCCACACACACCATAACCACCTGCCTTCCCCCCAAAATATGCTTTATATGTGTTGTATGGATTTCAGTCTCCCACCTGGGCATCAGGCCAGTGCTGGGGCTGGTGAGCTCTAGACAGGGCTCAGTGTCACAGGGCTGAGCTTGGACATATCACCTCAGATTGGGGCCCTCAGGCAACAGTGGCATTTCCACATCTTTGCCATCACGTTGTGAGACCTTGTGCTCACCTCCAGGCAGGAGGGACACCATGACATGCAGCAGGCATGGTCACCTTGGTCCCCGATGATGCTGTAGCCCCTTAGGGTTGTGCTTGAGGAGGAGATGGGCTCTCCCTGCAGCCCCTGGCAAGCGCAGAGCCTGCAGACAGCCCATGGATTTCTTGGTCCCTGCTTACCTGTCTGTGCACGCAGCAGAGCCCCTGGGCAGACAGCACTTGTCCCTCCCTGCTCCCTGCCCATCTGCGTCTGCTCTTTGCCCATCCCTGGCCATCCCTGCCCCTTGTTGCCGCCTCCCTGCCTCTTGCCCCTACTCTCTACCCATCCCCACCTGCTTGCCCCTTGCCTATCGCTGCCGGCTCCCTGCTGAGCGTTGCTCATCCCCGCCTGCTCCCTCCTCATAGTTACCTGAGGATAGGTCCTTGCCCACCGCTGCCTGCTGACCACCCCTTCGTACCTGCCCCCTCCTCGAACCCCAGTGCCTACTCCCTGTCCGTCGGTACCAGCTTCCCGCCCGTCGCTCCCCGCTCCCTGCCGATCCCCGCCCGGTCCCTGCCCAGTCCCTGCCAGTGCTCTGACACCTGCTGGCCACAAAAGGCACAGGCAGAGCTGCCCGTTTCGGCAGCCCAGGGGACAGGGTGCTCCGGGTCTTGTGTCCCTGGGCGACAGAAGGAATGGGAGTGAGGGTAAAAGGGGTGCCCAGAGCAGGGCGCTGGCGTAGGAGCGGCAAGAGGATTCCTGGAGTGATATCTCGGGAATGCATCGGTTACTCTCTGCCTGCCTTCAGCCCTGAACCTCTTTACTGCCTTTTTCTGTGAGGTTCCCATGGGGCCAGGGATATTGGGAGCTGCTTGTGCCGTGTGCCAAGTGGCACCACAGTGGTGTTGGACGGGGACAAAAGTCGCTCCCCTCCCTCCTCCTCCTCGCCTTACCTGGCAACTGTTTGTCCAACACCTTCCTAGCTTATCTCCCCACACCCAGAGAGCTGTGGGACGAGGGCAGAGGTGCTCCTCCACCCCATGCAGGGCAAAGGCCTGCCTGGTACTGACCTTCCCAGGGCCCTGACCCTGCCAAGAGCAAGTGGGTTTCCCTGAATGCAGCAGTGTCCACCTCCCTGGGACAGGAGCAGGTTCTTGGAGATAGGGTGAGGGCCCATACTTTGAGGGCTTAGTTCCCTGCAGAAGCAGTGTTGGGGCATTTCTGAGCCTGGAGATGTAGCCAGCATTGAGTTTTACAGCTGTGGCTCATGCTTGCTGTGATGGTGTCTCACAATCTACATTATCCCGTGGTGGGGAGTTCCAGCACTGAGCTGGGCATCATGTCCCCTGCAGGAGCTGGTTTTTAGGCTGCTGCCCAGTCGTCTCATTTAAAACTTCCCACAACTGGCCTCATCTGTGACCATGACTATCCTTCACCCTGATTTTATAGCATTCTCTGGGACGCCCCACAATCCCCCTTCCAGGCTGCACAGTCCCAGTCCACCCACCTGCTTTTGTGTAGAAGCTCCCGTATTACTTTTCCTGCACCTTTTCTTTCTCTCCTCCATCCCTTTTCGCAGCACGGGAAGCGACTAGAAGTGCAGGCTGTATTTTTGCAAGTAGACTTGGTCCCTCCCTGAGATGGTGGGGGAAATGGGCAGCTCAGGGTGAGGCTGGGAGGGCTGTGGCACACGTGTTCAGGGCTGGTATCCCTCTGCTTGCTGAGGAGAACTGCGGCGGCAGGGAATGAGGCAGGGCAGTTGCCTTGCTTATGTGACCTCTGTGGCCACCAGGTCTGGGACTTTTGGGATCTGCTGCTGTCCTTAGCCCTGGCTTTTCAGCCATCGTAGCAGGGTGAGGTGAAGGGATCTTCACCCCAAATTCTTTCTGCTCCAGCACAACATAGCTCTTGATCAGGTTTGGTATTTCCCTCTTGAGCCAAAGCTGGATGAATCTATGAGGCTGCCCAGCACTGTGTCCTTGTGCCTTAGGACTTGAGCAGAGCTGTTCTGAGAACTGGGAAGGTTATTTCATTTGTGTGTGAGGACAGTGCTGGGAACCCTGACAGATCCCTCCATGCAGAAGGCAACAGGGTCTCAGCTCCTGCATCCTCCTGTCAGCTGTGGCAGTGCTAGCACAGGGCAGGTGTCCTGCAAGCAGAGGGTGTTTCACACCAGCCCAGGTTGTGCTGCTGCTCAACAGGCTCTCCAATGAGCCAGCAATGGGGGGAAGATGGAGGAGGAGATGAGTTCTCAGTTGGGCAGATGCCATGTCAAATGGTGGGATGTCAGGCACTGTGGGGAGTCTGGAGGGCATGGGATGGACAGGGCACCTCATGTTCTCAGATCTTCTTTTGCCAGACCAGCCCCTAAGAGATCTGGGGACCCAGAGAGACTTTATGGAAGCATGGTGGGATATAACCTGCCAACGGGGCAGCTAGACCTCCTCCACCTCCAAAAAGCTTTTACTGACTCTGCCCCTCTGCCCTGCAGCGCTGCAAGGACCGCTTGAACTCCCTGGCCATCTCTGTCATGAATCAGTGGCCAGGAGTGAAGCTGCGGGTGACAGAGGGCTGGGACGAGGACGGGCACCACTCGGAAGAGTCACTGCATTACGAGGGCCGAGCCGTGGACATCACGACCTCGGACCGGGACCGCAACAAGTACGGCATGTTGGCTCGCCTGGCCGTGGAGGCTGGCTTTGACTGGGTCTACTATGAGTCCAAGGCGCACATCCACTGCTCCGTCAAGTCAGGTAAGACCGGGGTGGGGGGGC